ACCCAAAATGGTATTTTCTTAATAGAATGGTAAGCCCGATTTGGGAGAATAGTGGCTGGACCAGTCACACGGCTTCCCCATCTTGCAACGGACAAGATTGGGGCCGCCTGGATTTTGGGTCCTCTTCTACTGCTCCAGTCACACTGCGAGATCGCATTTCCTGGCAATATCTTGGTCTTCGATTTATTTTTTATATATATTTTTTTTATAAAGGCTAATTCTTTAAGCCCAACCAATTCAATTACCTGTCAAATCTGGACAGGACGCCTTTCAGGTTTCCGACGGTTGATTCCAAACAAGCAAGGGAATTTGCGGTAACCTCCGGAGGTTACCACAAATTCCCAACCCCCTTGTCCCCTCAGGCCCTGGACACTATCTTGGGGGATTATGCGGATTTGGTACGGCAGTGTGAGCGTGCCCATCGTGACTAGTGGAGCGAGGCCCAAAAGTAGCACTTCGGGCCGTTCGGCGAGAGGAAAACAGGAGCCCAACTCCCGACCCGCATGCGTAGAGTCTCGGGCCTCAGGTGCTCAGGCATTCAGGGTCTGGCTCCACCACTCACCACATCCTCAAAAGACAAAACATATGGTGGCGTAAAAATTAAAAACAGTCCTTCGGGACATCCGTCTAACTATGCTATATTCTTCTCTCATGTCCCGACTAACTATGCTATATTCTTCTCTCAAATCTTTCATATTTTTTCAAATTCTTTTAATTCACTTTCACTACCTACCTACCACTGCTCCTAAGCCCTTTGCAGGGGACCCCTGCGAGCATAGCTTTGATGTCTCCCTCCAGCCATCAGAGGGATGCATGTTGCCCCTGCCCAAACCATGGTGGTCACGGATGGGGTGGGGCTGCCGGTAGGTGTCCGGCTAACACAAAGGCAGAGCATTTTGCCAGTATCTGCGCCTCCCTTTTCAACTTTCCCCGGCGAGACCTGAATAACAGCAGTGTCTAAGGCCAACACTCTCCCGCACGGCGCACACCACACAGAACCCCCTCACACTCACACTGGCACCCGTGTTGGCCAAGGACCCTGCTAATACCGATCAAAGGTATCAAGCGCTGGTTGGCACTAAGTGCTGCGCAGGCGCAGGCGGTAGTGGGGCTAGAAGCCTAGAACCCACGACCTCCTGAATGCCACTTGCGTTCCTAACCAACTGAGCTAGGCCGCTGGATTATACAGAAAAAATTAGCATGGCCCCTGCCGAAGGGTGACACACATAAATAGAGAAAGGGATAATTTGCAAAATACCCCTATAAGTGGAGATATATGCCAAATTGCCCCTAATAGCATGGCCCCTGCCCAAGGGTGACACGCATAAATAGAGAAGGGGATAATTTGCAAAATAACCCTGTAAGTGGAGATATATGCCAAATTGCCCCTAAAAGATCAAGGTAGAGCGGAACACCCCTCTGACAAAGAAAATGTTGGGAAAAGTCATAAACCCCCCCTGCGATGTACCCTTTGTATCCATTTCCCCCAAACGGGGAAAAAGGTGCCGCAGGTCCCAAAATCACTTTCGGCATCATTTTTGCACCCTGCAAAGGACACCAAAAGTGATTTTAAGATCTGCGGCACTTTTTTCCCCGTTTGGGGGGAAATGGATACAAAGGTTTCGTCGCAGGGAGGTTTTATGACTTTTGCCAAAAATGTTTTGCGAAATGCCCGTGGCGTCGGTTGGACCATTCATCTTTGCAAAATATTCCTACCGGGTAATGTCCATGTTTGCAAAATGTCCCCGTACATGCCAACTTTTCCTGGGCCTCATGTATTTTCGTTTTACCCCTAGTTGCCCAGGTCATATCTGTGTTTTGCCCCCTCGCTGTGTGTGTGTGTCGGGGTGTGTGTGTGTGTGTGTTGGTGTGTGTGTGTGTGTGTGTGTGTGTG